TAGTTAGGGATTGTTCAGTGGTTACTAATCTCCATAGATTTCGCCAATCTAATGTTTCACAGCTTAATCCATGCAGAAATGTACTGAAAGAAATTATCTCCCAGCTTGGATTCAATCAGATTAAAAAGAGCTTGATTAAAAGATGGCCTAGTGGTCTAGAGTGTCACGCTTTGACCTCTAGATGGCCGGTCACATCTGACTTGTGGTTGTGTTTTCGATCCCTGGTGTGAGCGTATGTGGTTTGGAGATAGGGGCGCCTCCTCAACCTCGTGGGTTTACTCCGGGTACTCCGGTTTCCTCCCACAGGAAAGACCCCTGCGCGTGCGCTCAGATAATGAAAAAAATAAAGAGAACTTGTCTGCGATATAACCTTCAGTGGAAACTGACGTTAAACCCTAAGAACAACAACAAGATTTTACCCAACAATTATAGATGACTTTTATCCCAGGTACGAGCAGACACTGTCATAGAAGTATGGAAAGCTGGATGGCAAGCTGAGATGGAAAAAGTTACTAAATTAGGATATAAAACTCTATTATCAACTTGTTGGTATTTGAGTAGAATATCATATGGATCAGATTGGATGGCATACTATGCTTGTGAACCATTTAACTTTAACGGTATGTTAATATCTTAATTCATTGCTTACTCAACAGCCATTTTCATAGGGAGGGGATGGTGGTGGCCAAATGGTTTAATGTGTACATGTTAGATCACAAGATCTGTCATCGAGTAAAGACCCCTACGCGCAAGCAAAGTATTGAAATAAAATTAAACCATATGTTAGTCCCAAAATGACCTAGTTTGTGTGGAGTGGATGTTAAACCCCATTTCTCTCTCTCTCTGTCATTGAGTCAAAGGGCATGGTTTCGATTCCCTGTTTGTATGTGACAAGGAGTAGAAGTGTCTGTCCAAGTTCATGGGTTTTCCTCGGGTCCTCCCACAGCAAAAGACCCTATACTTGCAAGTGATATATTGAAATAAAATTGAACCAAGTTAGTCCTGAAATGACATAGTTTGTGTCTAGTTGAGGTTAAAATGAGAATGTTTTTTTATAGGAACTGATGCCCAGAAAGAACTTATTCAAGGAGGTGAAACATGTATGTGGGGTGAATATGTTGATGGTACTAATGTTATTTCTAGATTATGGTAAGTTCATCTAGATGGAACAATCTCTGTACAATTAAATCTTTGTTCTGAATGATCAAGCATAAGTCGACATGTTTACTAATTTTAGTTTAAATGTTGGCTATCTCAATATTAGCTTTATCATATAGATTAAGTAATGTTGTTTGAGCACAGTAACAGCGATATTGTCGCAATTTTTTTTTATCCCCATCTTTGATTAATACAGTATTAGACAATTTTTATTTTTAAGATATATTAATAAATGACCATTTTCAATTCGTTCACTAATGTGTTGTAGTATTATATATGTGCTTTGATCAAACTGAGAAAGATACTGTGTTGGTATAAAAAAATGGTCAGACGCGAAAAGAGGGTGGGAATCAGATGTACATTCATCCTATATACAACCGTAAACACTACCCCTCCCCTTATTTTGAAAATTCCTATAATTGCCCCTAAAGATAGTTTCATTCCGCAAATTAACTCAAGTTATAGAATAGGTAAATTTATTTTTGATCCAAATTATAAAGAAATCTAGTTATTTTAAGTCTAAAATACACTTAAAATCATATCATTTTAATTATTATATTATACAACCTCATTAGATCGGAATTGAATTATATATATCGTTAGATATAGAAACAATTCAGAGAAGCAGGAAGGTTATATAATAAGTGGAACTTAAATATAAAAATAATGTTTATTTTTTATACTAATTCATGTAGAACTGCAAGTAATTATTATTCATTTATCTTTAATAATGTTACTGTTGATATTACAGGCCGAGAGCATCTGCAGTAGGAGAGAGATTATGGAGTGCCAAAGAGATCAATAGTGGAGCTTTAGCTCAACCACGTTTAGCTGAACATCGATGTAGAATGGTCAGGTTAGTTGAACATTATTTTTTGTTAGTTAATTTTTTGTTAGTTATTTTTTTTTAAAAAGTAGACCATACAAAGAGCAAGACTGCAAATCTTTATCTATCTTGTGAGTTTCAGAAATCATCTCCTTTTAAAATACAAGTCAATTAAATAACATTCGTCCATGAATATGTAAGTGCAAGAGAACCACACACCACACAAAACAAAGCTGACAAGACAAACCTGTGGACAAGACAAACTACATCTACACTGCAAGAAATAAACAGCAAATATCAAATCAAGTGAATGGATTTAATATGTTTCAAAAATTTATCCAGTCATATGTCAATATTTGAAACTACAAATACTTAATTTTTTTCAGACGCGGTTTTCAAGCTGAACCAATCACAGGACCAGGATTCTGTAGAGAAGAGTTTGGTGATGTATAAATCATACAAGGTTCAGTTCGGGTTACAAAGAAAACTGACTAAATTATATGACATATCAACTATTTTTATAATGAACTTCAGTAAAAATATGTATATGTTAGTCTATTCATGATAACCAAATATATATTTGTATAACTGTATATACATGTATGTATTTAATGGTTGTTGATATTTCATCAATGGAATAAATATTTTTAAATTTTATTTCATATACTATTGACAACATAATCCTAGATGAACCTAAATATAAAAATGATGTTTATTTTTTATACTAATTCATGTAAAACTGCAAGTAATGATTATGCTATATTCAAATCCATTTCGAGATTATATTCAACACTTACAATTAGAGACTGTGCTATACAGGGCTATCGAGGACAAAGGGTTAATGTGATGATACTCAGCTTACACACAACATTCCACTGGTATACCTACTTATTAGGCTTTGACTTAACTCTCCTGTTTAAGTGTGTTTGAAAAGTCATTAGTTTGTTTTCTATTGTGTGTTTTTTTTTTCATTTTATGAATTATCGATAAATATGATTGTAGATATTTTAATAATAAATTTTATTTATATAAAAATCTAGTGTTTTCTTTAAAGATGCCTTCACCTGTACAGACCGTGTGATTTGATGATATATTTGACCAAAAATGTTTTTTAGATTAATTGTATGCTTCAAATCCCTCTCAAAACACTTTTATCAGAAGATAACTACCTCATGCAGCGAGAATCTTTTTTTATCAGACTTGTTTATCTAGTGACTTTTCAGCTTGTATTTGTCATTATTCGCTGAAGTGAATTCCTGGATTATCCTCTGTCAAATTGTTCTGCAGTGTAATTGCAGAGTCTGCTAGATGTTTGGGTCTCTTAGTGTTCTCACAACCGTAAGCCATTATATCAATACTTGTAACATGCTTGAGGGTGAATCTTGCATTTTGATTGGTTAATTAGACATAGACATTGTCAATCGGACAATAACAGCCCTCTGTTTTACTAAGGCGAATAACTGGGTATAAATATTACAGTGTACGTTTTTTCATTTTTGTGCTCAATGATCTTCCTCAACTCAAATCTAATGCGTCTTGGTTTCTAATGATCTCAGGACATGTCTACTGGGCAAGAACACCCCTCTAAATGCGAAACAGGAAGTGTTTATCTCCTAAATAAGAAGTGCCCTTACCTCATAAGATACTCTTACATTTTTTTTCTTGCGCACATTCCATGCCTATGATCAGAAAAAATACTTGTATTCCTAATAAATAAAAAGCAATTGTGAAATTAACACAAGAATAGGGAAACCTTGTAAATTTCAAACTTTGGCCAGTCCAATTGATCTAGGACTAATAGGGGTCGTATTATAAAGCTATGGAAATGATCTTTTTCCTTTCGACCATACATTTATATCTGACATTGAGTCAAAATATATGAAATGATCCGAAGAGAAAGAATTAAATGAATGACCGAGTTGAGAGACTGGTTTTAGCAATAGAGAGAAATAAGCAACTGTGGTTGTACTGTTAGTCATATAAAACCAGCCAATGGGGAATCATGCTGGAGTCTCGAGAGGAAATCCCACCTATGGGGAATAGCGACAGCCTGACAATAAAAAGTGATATTTAAAAGATTTAGCAACCATGGTGGTTCTGACAGTCTTTTAAAACCAGCCAATTGGGAATCTTGCCCCTGTCTTGCTAGCAAAACACACCTCTATGACAGTTTGACAATGAAACGTGAGAATTAAAAGCAAACTAGTATTATTGATTTCACATTTTACTTCTTTGTCCTTAGCCCACATCAGCTGATAATAATAAGATGATTTGCTATCATGTAGAACAAACTTTAGATATAGTATAATTTACAAATGAAATAATTTAATCTTATCACATTGTACTGCCTTGATAATCATCTTATCCTTGAACTTATCAGGATCCCCGAACTTATCAGGATCCTTGAACTGTTAACTGCTGATTATAAGTTTATCAGTGATTAGTTCAGAATCAGGTATATATAGGTCTAATATCCATAGGCGTACGGGGAAATTTTTGACTGGGGGGTGGGGGGCGGTGGTGGTTGGTGCCCCAAAAATGTAGTTAGGTTCTTATAATTAGTATGTTACATAATAATCATAATATCTCTTTTGCGATGAATAAGTTCTTAATTTTTTTAATCATCAATAAAAGAGAACTAAATTTTATTTACTTGTAATATACTCAACTAAAAACAGTTGTTTATGTAACTGTAATTCGTGGCTTACTGTACTCCAAACAATAGAGGGTTGAGTCTTAAGATTTCTATTTAATTGCTTAACTATAGACAATATGAATATAAATTCCCTGTTAAATTGGACGCATTCAAGAACACAATATTTTTTTATACAACTTTTACAAAGTACAATTGTGTGCCCAAATTTTCCCAGCATTTGGGTGCCAAAATTGGGGGGGGGGGCGGCCGTCCCCCCATCCCCAGACCCAGCCCCCCCCCCCCAGCTCGTACGCCTATGCTTAATATATATTAATGTACTTTGATCATATGACATGACATAATATTATATTGATAATTGAAGAAACCACAATGGAGGCTAGACATCATCTGTATTTATTTGTTGTTGCATTTGTTTTTTATGGACAGTCAGGGTTAGCTGTATCTGCTGATCAGTCTTCGGTCGTTTACCCATGGCCAATGCCAACTTTTTATTATGCTAAAGAATTTTTTTACATCATAGACACTGACCATTTTGATTTTCGAGCCACGAATAACACTTGTAATATACTGAAGGAAGCTTTTCATCGATATGCGGCCATCATATTGGGATCAGCAGCAAAGGAGCAACAATCTGGTGCCACCAATGGTTCTAAGAGTACTACTGTCGGTGATTCAGTAACAGAAGTAATGGTACAGGTTAATACACCATGTAATGATGGAGATAGACCACGTGCTGATTCAGATGAATCATGTAAGATACTGAGTTACAGTACAATCGTATTCTACACGTCACATTCATACATATACAATATATCAAAGCACTGATATACATTCTTATCACTTTAGTCTATACAGTGATAGTTTTGTTTTAAATTATGTTTACACATGTACTTAGATTCACAACAAATGATACAATTGACTGATATCCACTATTAATGACACAAAATGAAATGAAATGGGTTTGACGTCCTACTGTTCTGCTCCGAACATTGGCTAATGAAGACGGGCATACGCCATACAATGTGCTATGAGTGAAATTTTGCCCGGACAACGGCAGTACGGCCTACTCTTATATATCGAATTTCAACTGTCAAGGGATCTTTTACATGCACGGCAATGTGTATACGAGACCTCGGTTTTTGGTCCCATCCGAACGATTAGACATCTGTCCTTGTCAGTCCCTCCGTCCTGCATCACTGAAAAGGGGGGAACCACGCTATTAATGACACACTGATCGGGAATGTTTAATGTACATGTAGTTGTAATGTTGCTAGAAAAGTGGTCTGTATCCTACCATATATTCGGGATGATCAATAAGATAGACCAAAAAATGGTTTAATAAGTCTGAAGAAGTAGAGAACACATAAAACTAATCAGCTTGTGTCCAGATTAAGCTCTTATTCACTCAATTTAATTAAACAAGATTTCTACACAATATAATCTGATTATTGGCTATTACTAATCACAATTTAAATCTAAAGAGTCTTGGATGGCTCAGAGAATATTACACATTTCTGACATTCATTTCTAGAAGATTATACGCTGTATTGCTAATAGGTGAAGTTAAGGATATTTTCCATCCTTCACTTTTTAACAAATACAGTTTTCAGGAAAATGTTTCTCCTGATTTGTTTCAGATTATATATCTGTCAATGCCGCAGCTTTGGTGATGGCTAATGAAGTATGGGGTGCAATGAGAGGATTGGAAACATTCAGTCAGCTTATTTATCAGGATGATATGGGAAGGGTGAGACAGTTAGATTACTTATCAAGATATGGGAAGGGTGAGACAGATTACTTTATAGGGTGGTATGGGAAGGGTGTGACAGATTACTTATCAAGATGATAAGGGTGAGGCATTTGGTTTATCAAAGCGTGAGACATTAAGTTGGATTACATATCGGGATGGTAAGGGACAGGTGAGACAACTGATTACTTATCAAGATGGTATTAGGGGGGGGGGGGGCAGTAGGTTAAATTACTTCCCTGTATGGTATGGAAATACTGAGAGAATTACTCGGTAATAAGCTTCCTTATCAGGATGATATGTGAATGGCAAGATATAAATTTTAGCTAGATTAATTATCAAGATGATTCAAGATGATAGGCTAAGGGAAGGGTGAGACAATTAGATTACTTATCAAGATGATATTGGAGGGGAGGGGGTAGATTACTTATCAAGATGATATGATAAGGGTGAGAAATTTAGTTAGCTTACTTTTTAAGATGATATGGAAATTGTTAGACAATTAGTTAAGATTACTTATCAAAGTGAATGGTGTGGGTGAGACGATTCGTTAGATTACTTTTCTAGATGATATGGGAATGGTGAGACAGTTTGATTAAGATTTAATTAGATTACTTATCAAGATGACATAGGAAGGGGGGGGGGACATTTCGTCCATTTAATTATATATATTTTATAATTTATTCTTACAGTTATTAGTGAATGAATCTGAGGTTACAGATAAACCTAGGTTTGGTTATAGAGGTATTTTAATAGATACATCAAACCATTTTATATCAGTTCCTCTTCTTCTACAAAACTTGGTAAGTTATATAATAACTATATATAATGTTAGTAATATTTCATCATGGTAGGAAGAAAGAAGAGCAGTTGTTTTTGGTTTACTATTTACAGATATCTTAAGATAATTTAATTACTACTTTTTAGAGAAAATGGACAGAATGAGGATTACGATGTTCTCTGTAAATAACAATATGATATTAGACAATATCAGAAAAATATTCTGGTTCTCAGATTCTCCTGCGTCTTTTAAAAAGAGCTACATGACCTGTTTTAAAACAATCTTTTAATTACGGCACGGCACGGCAAGTACATGCTTTCCCTGGAAATGTACAATAGGCTCAAATATGTACACAACCCAGTTTATGAGATGTCATTTAGCCCATTAGTGGTACTTTGACAAAATAAAAACACAGCCCCCCCCCCATCAGTCTTTTAGGAAGGATTGTCTTGGATCCTGAATACCCTTTTTGTATGGCCTTACCTTTTATATCCATGACTGTGATATTTTAATGTTTTGTAATGTGGTATTTGTTTTGGTATGGGGCATACTTTGGCTTTAATTTTAAAAAGTGAACCCATTTTTAAACGGTTTAAATGGTATTTTATAACTGAACTGAACATATTCGTGACAAAGTAGCTACGATGGAATACATTACTCAATTACTAAGCAGCATTTCATCTAAGATTCTATAGTCTTTATCGTGTAAATAATTAAAATGTTGCTCTGTAATAAACCGTAATTGTATTTATTAGAATTTTGTCCGGTATATAATTATTTGTTTTAATGATTTTATTAAAATTGCTTTTTCAGGATGCAATGGAGCTAAATAAGTTCAATGTTTTCCACTGGCATATTGTGGATGATATTTCTTTTCCTTATCAAAGTGAACAATTCCCAAACTTATCAGACAAGGTAATTGCTTTTATGTATTTTGATTTATATTAAATCTTTTAGCTCTCAAACAAGATTTGTACCAAAATTTGAATCAAGAGCAGAACTCTGTGGTAGGACAGGATGTATGTCTTATGAGGGGTTCCGTCCCAAAATAATATTTTAAGTGTCCCTCTCTTTCCACACATATTAAAAAGCAAAAAAAAAAAAAAAAAAAAAATGATACCAACTTCCCTTAAATCAAGCACATGTCTAACTGTTTGTTTATCAACTACCGGTTAGTCAAGCAAGCATATATGTTTTGATACCATAAACACCTTATTTAATTAGTAAAGCCCACATGGCAATCATATATATCTAACATTGTTTTGGTACCATAAACTCCTTAGTGAAGACCACACGGCAGTCGTACATTTTTTGATACCATGAACACATTCATATCTAACTTTGTTTTAGATACCATATACTCCTTGATAAAACCCACATGGCTTTACTATAAACTCCTCAGTAAAGCCTTCATGGCAATCATATATATCTAACTTGGTTTTAGATACCATATACTCCTTAGTAAAGCATATATGTCTAACTCTTAATTAATAAAGTTGTATTTTGATATCATCTACCCCTTAGTCATAATACATTTCTAATTCTTAGTTACAATGCAAAAAAAAAATATTTGTTTTACATTTGTCTGTATATATATATATGATATGTACCTACATGTAGCTCAGTAATAAAACAACATTTGGAGATATTTATTGTAAACTTTACTTACATATTTTTATTGCAGGGAGCCTATAATAAATATACCCATGTTTATTCTAAGACAGATATAATACAAGTTATAGAATATGGCAGATTAAGAGGAATTAGAGTTATTGTTGAATTTGACACACCAGGTATTTACATCACATTAATTAACAGGAATTTTGTATTATCAGCATCTCCAGATTAGAATGTTCTACAAATCAACTTCTGGCTCCAAATTTTGTTTTTTCTCTTTAAATGTATATTTCACTATCATTTATACATTAGTTTTACTATGCATTCTAAATTTCCTTGTAGAATTGTTGCCTTCATAAGTGCTGGCCAAGTTGAATTGCTTCGAGGTTCCTAGACACAGGGGTTGGGTGGGGAATGCTCCCTTCCTATAATAAACATTTCTAGCATTAAAATCGACCCCAAAACAATATTTTCAGAAGTATTCTTCTCCTGAACCTCTTGGCCATTCAAATTTACCAGTTGCAATTGAAAATAGAAAATACTGTTTGGTCGAGCAAGCCATATGTTGAGATTTCAAATCTACAAGACTTGGGTATGATGGTGGTAGTTGCCAAAATTTCTTCGAAACATTTTTCTTAAACGATTTGCTGCCATGAAAGTTTCATAATGGACAAACTTCCTCCTATTGTCTTTCAGGCAAATATTTATCTATTAATGGTTACTCTAGTCAAGCATTTCAAATTTAACTATCTCGTCTTGATATTTATTTACTTTAAATTATAATTTTGTCATTTCAGGACATACATTATCATGGGGTAAAGGTCAACCAGATTTATTGACCAAATGTTATACAGGAGACAAACCAAATGGTCAGTTTGGTCCAATTAATCCAATTCGTCAATCTACATACAAATTTCTAGATTCATTGTTCGCAGAAGTAGGCCGTTTATTTCCTGATGATTATATTCATATAGGTGGAAATGACGTTAATTTTAGATGTTGGTAAGTTGTGATAGCTTTAATAGACGAAATGAAATGAAATGGGGTTTAACGTCCTACTGTTTTGCTCTGAACTGGGTTAATGAAGACGGGCATACGCCATACAGTGTGCTATGAGGGAAATTTTGCCCAGACAGCTGCACTACGGCCTACTCTTATATCGAATTCCAACTGTCAAGGGATCTTTTACGTGCACGCCAATGTGTACACGGGACCTCAGTTATTTGTCTGATCCGAATGACTAGATAGCTGTTCTTGTCAGGCCCTCAGTCCTGCATCACTGACAAGGGGGAACCACGCCGGAAAATCTGGGTGAACTTTCTCTGCCTATGCAGGGATCGAACACCCGACCTTCAGGCTAGCGAGCCCCCGCTTAAATAGACAGTGTAGAACTAACTGCTCCACAAACACACACAACACAGACAATTTTAAATGGCAGCCATAAAATTGAAATCAGTTGACAGAGTACGTATTGTCAAGATGAATACAGAACTGTCAGCTATAAGAATCAGTCGCAGGAGACTTTTTGTCACAGATGAACCCAGTGACAAGTGGTATTAGGTGTTCCAGAAAGAGTAAGCATATCCTGCCATGCTGGTGCGTGACACCGATCCTGACTTGCGTATAACTGGCCAATAACCAATGTTGACTCGCAACTAAAATAAGGATCAAATTCTGGCTTGGTCTAAGAAGTGCCATCAAAATTTTTAGTTGTCAGGGGCTGAAAAGGAAACTGTTCTTATGCATTTAGATGTTGGAAATGAAATGAAATGAAATGGGGTTTAACGTCCCACTGTTCTGCTGCGAACTGGGCTAATGAAGACGGGCATACCCCATACAGTGTGCTATGAGGGAAATTTTGCCCGGACAGCGGCACTACGGCCTACTCTTATATCGAATTCCAACTGTCAAGGGATCTTTTACGAGCACACCAATGTGTACACGGGACCTCGGTTTTCGTCCCACCCAAACGACTAGACAGCTGTCCTTGTCAGACCTTCGCCATCCTGCATCACTGACAAGGGGAAATGTATTTTAAATTTGAAAATGATGCCTATGATAAAGTGAGGTGAGAATATTTTTAGACTGTGACACCAAAGACAATCTCCAAAATATTGCAACTTACGCTACATTAGTATATATTCTTAAGTAGCAGTCTGGTTCTCTGTCAATTACTAGTTGATTCTGTCCAAAATTTAGAAGATATTACTATAAACATGCATCCTATATTTGTAATTTACAGGGAGTCAAATCCAGAAATAAAAGAATTCATGAAACAGATGAACTATACTGCTGTTCAGTTGGAACAATATTATTTTCAAAAGTAAGTATGGCTTTCATTTATGAAGAGTTTAATGACTTTATTATATTTTATGAAAAATGTACAGAGTTGGTTTATTGTCTGGAAGAGAGCAGATCAGGATTTAATTTATTCTGAAATTCTAAAATTGTCCCAGATATATTGTTTCAGCAAACATAACTGGATGTCTGAATTAAAGCTGACATCTGCACCGACTGGGCTAATGAAGACGGGCAGTGTGCTATAATGGAATTTTTGCCCCGACAGTGGCGCTACATCCTACTCTTATTTCAAATTTCAACTGAAGGGTTATTTTACGTGCACACAAACGACCAGACACTGTCCTTGTCAGACCCTCCGTCTTGCACCACTGACAAGGGTAAAATGTACAGGAAAATCCTGAGGAAATTTCTTAGTCAATACCGAGAGCGAATCTGAGACCTGATTAGCGAGCAAGTGTAAGTGTCTTTCTCACTGAGCCACCACGGCTCTCGACATCAGTGAGTAAGTATTAAATATTTTAAGACATCTGTATTGCTATATATATTTTAGAGTATTAAATATTGTAAGAGATCTGTACACGAAGAACATAGTATGGCAAGATGCCTATGATAATGGTGTCTTAGTAAGTACAATAATATTCCTAGAAATCTGTATATTACTTGAATTAATATTCATATTCAGTTATAAAAGTTATATATGAAGTCTGTGTCTTTCAGACAATGATTCCGAATTGTTTTCTGTTAATATATTATCATAAGATGGCCATATGGGGACTGCTGTGTGGTTAGGTTTGCAACTTGAATGCCCCTTCAAATTCTGGTGTTGGCAGATATGAACCTTGGCTATATTAAAGCTTGCTCCCCTTTGTGAAATGACAGGAAGAGTATTATGTAAAGTCAGATCCTATCTGTATATAACAGTTCACATGACAGTAGCACAAAACCCAAGCTAAAACACCACATGTTAGTCTAAAAATGACAGAAGAATTGTGGTAACAAACTATGAAACTCCATTTCATTCTATCAGTAGATTTTGTTGCACTATATTTGACTTCTGTTTGAATTTTTTCAATGTCTTATTTGTATTGAGCAATACAGAAATGACAAGATGCATCAATTTATTCCATTTTGTTACGCTTTACCAGATGTTAGACCCATCTCCATATTGATCTAGGGGTTGTGGCGCAGCAAGGCACGTTAGATCACAAGGTCTGTCATTGTGTAAAGTGGCGTGGTTTCGACTCCACATTTGCACGTTTCAAGGAGTAAGTTCGCATATCTAACCTCATAGGTTTTTCCTGGGTCCTCTGGTGTCCCTCCTCTACCAAAAAAACTTATGTGCAAGTGAATTATTGAAATAAAATTGAACCATATGTTAGACCCGAAATAACCTAGTTTTTGTCGAGTTGGCATTAAACCCATTTTTCTCTATCTCTCTTTCCATCTTGATCCAATTTATCATTCTGTTTTAGTCAGCAGGTACTATTTACCAAGTATGGAAAAGTGATTGGCAGTCGACAATAGCCAGGTTAACCGCAGCAGCGTATGAGACGATATTATCATCGTGTTGGTTTTTAGATAATATATCTAAGAGTAATGACTGGATAAAATATTATCAATGTGATCCATATGATTTTAATGGTAAGTTTTTGTTGAAAGGGAACGTTAGTGGTGAATATATATTATAAACTCATCTACAAACAGAGGTGATTACAGATTATAAACCCATCTACAAACAATGGTGATTACAGATTATAAACTCATCTATAATCAGTGGTGAGTACAGATTATAAACTCATCTACAAACAGTGGTTATTACAGATTATAAACTCAGCTTCAAACAATGGTGATTACAGATTATAAACCCATCTACAAACAATGGTGATTACAGATTATAAACTCATCTATAATCAGTGGTGAGTACAGATTATAAACTCATCTACAAACAGTGGTTATTACAGATTATAAACTCAGCTTCAAACAATGGTGATTACAGATTATAAACTCGTCTACAAACAGTGGTGATTACAGATTATAAACTCAGCTTCCAACAATGGTGATTAGAGACTATAAATTCATTTATAATCAGTGGTGATTACAGATTATAAACTCATCTATAATCAGTGGTGATTACAGATTATAAACTCATCTATAATCAGTGGTGATTACAGATAATAAACTCATCTACAAACAGTGGTGATTATAGACCCATCTATAATCAGTGAAGATTACAGATTATAAATTCATCTACAAACAGTGGTGATTACAGATTATAAACTCAGCTTCAAACAATGGTGATTACAGATTATAAACTCATCTATAATCAGTGGTGATTACAGATAATAAACTTATCTACAAACAGTGGTGATTACAGACCCATCTATAATCAGTGATTATTACAGATTATAAAATCATCTACAAACAGTGGTGATTACTTACAAGGGCTAGATATTTGTGGGTAGCAATGAATCACTGTTCAGGTATCGGATACATATTTTTGATAAAAACAAGATTGGGACATGCAATTAGTACAATGTAATCAGGAATATTTTTCTTTATAAACATAGCTTTCATTAGGTTTAGTCGATTTGAATGTTTGGACTACGCATTATTCTGGATTATTGGGCCTTTAATATTGTTGGGTTTTTTTATGAATATTTTATTTCTTTAATAGGAAGTATGGAAAACAAGAAACATGTGAAAGGAGGTGAAGCCAGCTTATGGAGTACTTACATTGATGATACAAATCTTATGACCACAATATGGTATGTTACCTATACTTGTATTAATATGGGGATATTGTTTCAGTTAAGGGTATTATACTATACTCTTCAAAAAAAGTAGGGGATATTCAGAAACAATAAAAAACTGCGGAAATGCACTGCTGTTTTTATTAGAGGTAACCAGTGTATGTTAATAACAGACCAATTGCCTACACATGAGCATAAACAGTTCATATGGGCGGCTTATCTGACGGACCCATTTCACTCCCAAAGAGATACACTGTCAAAAGTGAAAATGGACGTTTTTAATTTTTGTCTTAATAATGAGTAATTGCTCCACCAATCCTCAGACATTCAGCAATTTGTCGTGGCATGCTCCTAATCAACCGTCCAATCACGATTTGGGGCAATATGACCCACTCCTCTTGCAGTGCCATGACCAATTCTTGCAGTGTTGTCGGTTGATGTCGACGAACACGTCTCCCGATCAAATTAAAACGTAACACACTAAATTAAAGATACGCTAAACAGTAAATCTTATGCAAGAACCGATAGGAAAGCAAACATTGGATAGGATAACCCAGCAAGCGGCAGATTTCATCAACCCTTCCTTGAAGTGTCAAATTTGACAATGAACCCCTCCCACGTGTATGGCACTATTGCGTGTCGCACATGCAGCTCAGTGGTTCTGTTGGGGCGACAAGTTCTTCATCTGTGAACATACTCTCAAAGCATGTCAAGTGTCCATGACTATTTATCATATCACAACCTGCATAGGCATTTGCATTTGAATATCCCCTACTTTTTTTGAAGAGTATATATTAAAATCAGATGTTAAGTTTTGATTTATTTTTTTATATACTGTGTTATACTATATTAGGGGTGGTGGATGGCCGAATGGTTAGCATGTGTGCGTTGTATCATAAGGTCTGTCATTGAATCAACTGGCATGGTTTTGATTTCCCGGTTGTACCTGACAAGGAGTGGGGTCACTTGTCCAACCTCGTGGGTTTTCTCCGGGTCCTCCAGTTCCCTCCCACTGCTAAAGACGCCTACGCGCAAGCGAATTGTTTAAATAAAATTGAACCATGTGTTAGTCCTGTAATGCCCTAGTTTGTGTCGAGTGGATGTTAAACCCCATTTCTCTCTATATATACTATATTAAAATTAGATGTTAATAATATTTCGATTCATTTTATAGGGTTTGTCATCATTGATATTGTGCAAAAATCAGAGAACAAATAAGGGAAACCATATTGTAATGTAATCTAATATAGAATAGGTTGAACATATTGGCTACAAATCCTACAATAGCTCTAAATATCCACTAACATTGTGTAAAATGAATAATTTATGCAATTTCAATACCACTGATGTATTCTATAATTTCAGGCCTCGTGCATCAGCAGTAGGAGAGAGATTATGGAGTGATATATCAGTCAATAATGTAACAGCAGCTTTTCCAAGACTGATAGAGAATCACTGTAGAATGGTCAGGTAAAATATTTAAATTGTTTTTAAATCATTAACACGGTGGCATCGGAATGTCTAAAAAAGGATGATTAATTCTTTAGTGGTTGTACAGTTAAGCATGGACTTATGGGTCAGAAAGTGCAGAGTATGAATACTTATCACAATGTATTTTATATTTTTTTTCTAGGCGTGGAATACCAGCAGAACCATTAGGACCTGGATATTGTATAAAAGAATACAAAGCCCCTGTATCAATGAATTAAAAACTTTATTGTTAAACACTTTTGTCTTGAGTTCTTTTTCTCTAAGTGTTTTAATTCAAGCATTACCAGAAACATCAGCAAGAATATTTTGCAAAAGGTCTGGAAATCTAAGTAAAAATTTGACAGGAAGACTGCATCACGTTTCCCATTTGAGAGAAGAGAGTTTGTTTCCATATTCCACAATTTCAGACATTTATCATTCTGAAAACTTACCAAGTACGTGTAAATAGTGGATTGAAGGAAGGTCAATAGGGTCTTTAACCCTTATAGTGTTTTGTAATAACTACTGGGCACTGGTGTCTGAAATTTAGTGACTTTGTCACCTATACATTTTTACATGTAGCGAAGTGATCAGTATTCATCTGCTTCCCACATGCAGAGTTATGTTACATGCCAATCAGGCCCAACACTTGAAGAGAACATGGTGTCCAACCGGACCCCTAACTGATAACTCACAGTTGGGATATTGCTAATACATTTGCTGTTTGATACCATATTGATATGCTAGAGTATTCTCTCTTTTAGCATTTGCATGTTACAAATACCAAAAATTAAATGATGAATTCCAAATATTCAATGGTTTTTGTATCAAGTCTGAATTGCCATTTAACACATAGTAGCAATTTTGTGACAATTATTAAATCTTTTCCATATGGCACTAAAATGTTTTTGGATAATAATTTAGTTGTATTTCAGATGTCAATTATGAATGCAAATAAAAACCAAACCGCTGCCTTTTAATTCAAATATATCTGTACATAAAAACTTTGAATTATAACTCGGGTCCATATGGACCCCTGATACCCGCTATGTGATTCTCACAAGGTGCACCCACAAGGGTTAAAAACGCTTAAAATTATTAAATTAATTAGCATACATTTATTTCTATGTGGACATATTGAAAGAAAAAATATTTGATTTTTTAAATTATATTTATTTTTCTCATTAACATAAATGTAATAACAAAAGACATCAACATTGCTACATAGAACATCAACATAATAACATAAAAAATACTTTTGAGTCGAAGCCATTTTGAAACATTGACACTACTTTAATTAAGTACATCTTCCTTTGATTAGATAAATTAGAGGTAAAGTTATACATGTGTAAAAATTATCTATTCAAATTATAATATTTAAATAAAATGGATAATAAAATTTGATAAGTTTACATTTTGATGGTCTTGTGTTTTAAAAATCATAAATGGAACAGTAATCAAAATATTGAATGTATGAAATCAGGGTTTCCATGTCACAACATTTTGTTTATTTCAGATAAGCAAGATATTTTTATTCCCAATATTATTTTTTTTTTTAGCTTACTCAAATTTTATATTTATTCATAATTGTTTTTTAAACATAAAAACTATCGGAGTTTATTGTTTGTTATGGTTAAATTCTTTGAAATTCTGATTTTATGACTGGCATGCAAATTAAGTTCTCCTGCCAATCGAGTCTAGCAAAATACTGGAACCAGAGCCCTGAATGAATTCAACTACAGCTAAGCAAATATAACTGTGGTGTGTGTGTGTGTGTGTGTATGTGTGTGTGTGCGGGTGTGTGTGTGTGTGTGTGTGTGTGTGCGGGTGGGTGTGGGTGTGGGTGTGTGTGTGTGACTCAAGTATGAGCGGTAGCTTTATTTAACGTCCGCTTTCACAGAATTGATTTTGCCAACAATGTGGAATGTAGTGTAGTTTACATCATAAAAATAACTTGTAAAATTATTAATTATTAACTTGTAAAAAATATTAGATATATCTAAAACTGAGCATCACACAATGCCATCATGATTAGATAATATTCCTGCTATCATACGATTTCTCTTTACTTTCTGCAGTTCTGAGTTCTGAAATAAAATGGTGATAAAACACCTATAATCACTGGTACATATTGCTTAGAATTCCACCTTGATAAGAAATTTGTGGCAATTATTTTTTTCATATTTAAAGAAGCTGATGGTTATTTGGAAACCCCTGTAAACTACCATATTGTGAAAGTTGAATATTTAAAAGGAATGATTAATTCATTCAGTATTCACAAAAATATGATGAACTGAAAATCTGTCAAAATTCAGCATCCTCTGCAGAAGATATAAACAAGCCAGAGCCATCTATAAGGGTTGGGTAAAATGTTTTGATGAGTCTCTTTTTAATCTGAATTCAAGCCAGGAAATTATCTAATGTTGATATTATGGTTTTGTTTTCTGAATTAAATGCCAAATAATAAATTTGTGTACACTATAGCGAGGATTAAACAGCGAAAACTTAAATGTTGTCTTAAAAATACCAAATAGTGTTTTAAATCAATCAGTTTGATTCTTAATTGGTCAGGAATCCACCCCCTTTGCACAAGGGAGCTGGTTCAGTGAGTAAGAAGGTTGGCTCGCTAACCTGGAGGTCCCGTGTTTGATCTCTGTGTTAACCAAAAAAGTTTATCAGGATTTCCCAGGGTGGTTCCCCATTGTCAGTAATATAGGACAGAGAGCCTGGCAAGGGACAACGCATGTATATTCGTTTGGATGGGATGAAAAACTGAGGCCCTGTAAACACATTGGCATGCACATTAAAGAACCCTTGGCAGTTAGAATTTGGTATAAGAGTAGGCTGTAGCGCTGCTGTCCGGCAAAATTTCTGTCATAGCACACTGTCGGAGCAGAACAGTAGGCTATTAAACTCCATTTAATTTCAACCTACCCCTTGCACAAGCATATGTGTAGTAAATAGATAAGTATATTACCTTCCATACTATAACTAAACCATCTGCTCCACATGATACAATACCTTCTTTATCATAATCTACAAAAGTCTGAAAAATATAACACAGCATGTATTGTAATCTTAACAATAGACCCTCAGTTGTCTTATTTATAACAGACAAGATACCACCCATAATCTTATAATGACATGGAAATGATAATCTGACTGAAATTTATCTGTTTGATATGTTATGTGAACTGAGTGTCATCAGTGGTAATCCAAAAATGAAAATAAAATTAGTTACGAAAAGAACATTCAGTTTTATAAAGCTTGTTCCATCATTAATAACCCTATCACTGGAAGTAGTAGAAGGGTGGAAAAATCTCCGCAACAGTTTGGTCATATTACCAACTTATTCATATTATTAAGGAATAGTGGTCTGAAGCCGTCATGAGTTCTTTGTGTTGAGTTACTTCCCTTGATTAATAAACAGATGGATTTCTGGGATGGAGTCAACTGTAAAATGGCAGTTTTTAGTTAGCCATTCTGCTTGTCATAAACAATCCCAATACCACAGTACAATTAAGTCTGGATCTCAGTGACATGGCTGGGGAAGAGAATTGGGTGGATATCAGAATGCCAAAAGAAATCCCACAAGATGAGGCAGATAGCCCTACTTCTGGTCATTTGCAGGCCTGGGAGTGACTTGCATAATTAGCAGGCCTTATAATGAACTGGGATCCTGTTAGACCATACAGAAAACCACCCCACCCCATGCTCAAAAGGTGTGGGTCCTTTAAAAATATCAATAATCCTTTTCAAAAACATGATACAAAAAACTAATATTTTGATCTTGTTGTGATTTGAATATCTGGAATTTATCACCAGCTACACCCAAAAAACGACCACTTGTATTTCTTCGAAAAAGTATCACACAGTGTCTGGTACTTGTATTGGATTAGGATAAACATTCCTGAACTTATCAGCTTTATTCACTAAAATACATGTGGAACAGTTCCATAAAGGCTAGCTAAGACATTTTAGATTTTGTCTGCAATATCACCATCTGTGAAAGCGAACAAAAACCCATAGCAGCTGCTACTACTACATTTAGATTAATATGGGTTCTTTCTAAATTTGAATTAACTTTTATCACCAAATTACCTGAACAGCACCAGAATGTGCGATGAATTCTCCCAGTAATTCTGGTTCTAAACAATTCTCTCCATTTAATCTTTTTAATTCTTCACTACTATAAATACACAAAATTTAATGAGTTTGTCAAAATTATATAAACGTTTATTTCAATAATGAAAATATTTAAAGTCCCTCGTGATATTGTGGAGATATAACTAGTTTTATCGTTGAATTGCTAGCACTATTGTGAAATAAATAACGTTATCAACCAACTGACAGCCAATTTCATAGGTTTTTTGTTATAATTTAAAATACCTTAATCTGGTGAATTTCTCCATTGGTATATTGGAATTATTCAGTTTTTCATTAATTTCTGGATCGCTTGAAGGTGGTTTACCCCATAGCCTGATAGAACCATCCTCTGAACTTGTTAACATATATGACCTGGAAGATACAACATCTCAAGAATATCGAGGATAATCGATATTAGGGTACAAACTCTTTACCTGGCGTTGCACGGGTAGAGCCCTGTGAGGCTAATTACAGGCGTTATGTGAATAATTCTGATAATAAAAAAAATTAATTTCATTTTTATCACTAACAAGAATAGTTCCATAAGCATTCTGAAATGGTAAGTAAATTAAGTTAAAGATAAATTATGCAAGATCTGGAGAAACAGCTGGCCAAGTTATTTATATCAGTTCATATTCTTGATTGTCAAGTACCATTGCCATCATCTTCAATAGAAGACTTGATCTCGCTTTAACTACCTACATCTGATCAAGGCCTTCACGTAATACCCTGCACATTTCAGCACTTATTTCGATTGGGTACAAGCCCAACTTGTGAGCCTATCAGATTCCTCGATCGTCGAGAATACTAAGTCTCACGCTTTCAAGCTAAAATGTCTACCTGTGAAAAGTTCAAGGTTCATTCAATGTCAAGGTTTCCATGGAGGTCGCGATGTCACAACCTCTGATTGGACGCTACTGCTCACGTGTCTGTAGATAACATAGCTATAAGTTTGGGAATTGTGAAGTAAACAAACAACGGCCAGATGTTGTGAAACTCGCAGTCGTTGCTTCCGGAACATGCAATGACATGATAATAAATGAAGTCTTATGTCAGTTCTCTTATTGGCAGTATTCGGCCATATAAGCGTTTAACCCAGATATGGTGACACTGCCTAATCCACTAAATATTTCAGCCATTTGATGTCTAGAGAGCATGTCATTTGAATAGATGCAATAAATAAGTTTAGCTCTCACATAATGTCTCTTTAATAGTTGTTCAAGACAAGACAAGACAATACTTCAATTAAGAGAAGAAAATAATTAAAAATATGAATACCCATCTCTTGTCATTCCAATATTAAGTATTTTAGAAAAATGAGCTGATATTTTTCTACAGATTAAACCATCTTTACTAGCTGAAACATCAAATATACCAAAACCAGAACCAATGGCTGCAAACAGATATTGCTGAAATATAAATAATTGACACAATTCATATTGTATTACTTACAGAAGGAAAAATTTACTAAACCGAATAATATGTCCACGAGAAGATCAAGAGTTTGTCAGCACAACTTTAAAGAAAAATACCCCAAATATTTTAATTGCTATTTACTTCTCTTTTTTTTTTTTTTAGCTTTCTATCGTTCTTTTTGTGAGACCAGTGTAAATGAATAAGCAGCTATCTTGAGAAAAAAACGTTTTATAAAAAAATCTAGCAAGTATTATATTTTAAGAATTATATAAGTGAAATATATTTTGAGGAAATTCACCAATGCATATGTTAAAACAGTTTTGTCAGGCAATGACTATATACACCACCACAAGCATTTTAAAAGGGCAATAACTACTCACAAAATTGATCAAGTTTGTGAAAAAAAACTCTCAATAAATTTGTCTAAAAGATTAGATTTGGTGATGTTCAAGTTTTAATTTCATTAAATAGCTGAACAAACGCTGCAAGTCTGTAGAAATAAGCTCCAAATCTCTCAACTTGAAGTGTCTTAAAGTTTTGTTAACAGGGCACACCTGAATTAAGATAGGGTTCCTACTTTAGACTAGAAAAAGAATTCTAGCAAGTTTGAAAAAAAAAAACATTTCAAAAACTGTCACCTGTGAATGGATGGACATGAATGATGACAATATATATTCCCATATGGAATGTGAGTGTATAAAAATATTTACCTCTTGCAGACAGAACATACATTGTATACTATATGGGTATAATTTATCGGCACCTTGATAATTAGTTATTGTATTAAAATATTTAGCTGGTAATAAATTATGTGTTGTCCATAATACTATCATTCCATCTATAGAACCACTGGCAAAACAGGATTCTGAAATTTAATCATACAATGATTTTATTCTTAATTAATACTATATATAAAGTACATTACATGTGTTCTGTGTATAATTCATCGAATATTAGCCACTTTTCCATCAATAATAGCGAGACAGATAGAAATGGGGTTTAACGTCCATTCGACACAAACTAGGTCATTTTGGGACTAACTTATGTTTCAATTTTATTTCAGTAATTCGCTTGCATATAGGGGTTATTTAGCAGTGGGAGGAAACCGAAAGACCCAGAGAAAACCAAAGAGGCTGGACAGACAACCTTACTCCTTGTCACGTACAACTGGGGAATCGAAACCATTTCCAGTTGACTCAATGACAGACCTTATGATGCAACGCGCCCGCACTAACCATTCGGTCATCCTTTCCCCCCATCAAGAATAGCAAGGGAGAAATAGAACTGTAATTTTAAAGAATAAACTAATTGAAGTGTGTTAGATTTTAATCTTGACACCTGTTTACATGAATAAAATATCCACGATGACTGGAGGGGGGGATATTGTTGGTGCTGGTTTTGATCCTATCTCTTCTCTTCTGCATTGTAGGATGGACGGCTTGTATGGCGTATGCCCGTCTTCATTAGCCCAGTCGGAGCAGGACAGTAGGATGTTAAACCCCATTTCATTTTATTTCTCTTCTGCATGTAAAGGCGGTCTTATGACAGCTTACAATTCAACACAACCCAACAGTTGTGTTACCAGTTGTGTATAAAACGAGGAAGACTTGATGAAATATTCTACCACTTCCTGGAAAACTTAGATGATGCTAAATGAACTGGCTTGAACTTCTTAAATACTTTAATAATTAAGACAGTAAACGCATACTTACTAGAAACTTTAATAAGACTATGTATAACTTCTCTATGTGGTGGTAAACTTTTAATTAAACTCATTTCACTATTAACATCTGTATCTTCATCATCATCGGCGGGTGTCACACTAAATACAACTAAAACATAAAAAAAATTTTTTTTTTTTAAAATGGGGTTTAACGTCCACTCAACACAAACTAGGTCATTTAGGGACTAACATATGGTTCAATTTTATTTCAGTGTCTTAGCTGTTGCCTGTTGGTGGAAACCGGAGGACCCGAAGAAAACCCACAAGGTTGGACAGGCAACCCTACTCTTTGTCACAGACAACCGGGGAATTGAAACCACGCCAGTTGATTCAATGACAGACCTTATGATACAGCGTACACACGCCAACCATTCGGCCATCCCCCCCCCCCTCCAAACTAAAACATAACACCCAATAATACATCAGTGTTTTGTATTAGGTTATTATATCTACTGGTGTCACACTAAAATATAACACCCAATAATACATAGGTGTTTTATGTTTAGTTATATCTACTGATCAGAGGAAAAAAGTGAGTGTCAAGCTTATGGTAATTAAATTTAGACTTAGAGTTAAATGGGCAGGTTTATACAAATTCTTTTAATTATGATTAATCAAACACAGACTACCTCATCTAACATCAGCTGTTTGATATTGTTCAAAATTGAAGGTTTAAAAAAAAAATGAATATAATTACCAAGTTGTTTATCAGCAGCTGTAACTATTCTGTTATGGTTTATACTTATCATTATACATATATCTGAAATATAAACAAATATACACTGTATATATAAATATAACATTCAGGACTACAAAAGCACCAAAGTTTTAGGGGGTTCACATACACCTATTCATAAAACACCTGATAGTAAAAATGAAATCCCATAAAATTCAATCTTAAAGGGGGATTACGAATAGAAACCTGTGCTTTTTAGTTGTATTTCAGATATCTCACTGTACATTATTGGTTTGGGAGAAATATTCACCTTTCTTCCCTCTTTTGGTGTTTGTGAACACACGCACACACAATGCAATATATACATATATGATTCTCAGACCTGTTTGATAAACATTACAAAACCATAAAGAAAGAGAGAGAAATGGGGTTTAACATCCACTCGACACAAACTAGGTCATTTCGGGACTAACATATGGTTAAATTTTATTTCAATAATTTGTTTTTGCGTACGGGTCTTTAGCAGTGGGAGGAAATCGGAGGACCCGGAGAAAACCCACGAGGTTGGACAGGCGACCCTACTCCTTGTCACGTACAACCAGGGATTCAAAACCCTGCCAGCTGACTCAATGACAGGCCTTATGATACAGCGCGCACGTGCTTACCATTTGGCCATCCAACCCCCCTACAAAACAATAAAGCTTTAATCTGGAAATTTATTTACAAATGGAAATGTTTATAAAACATTGTGATTATCTTAATTCTAAAATTTTAAAATTGTCCTTTATTTCTACCTTCTTCTGTGTCTGTTCTTTTTAAAGTCTTTAATAACTGGCCATTTTCATTCCATAAACAAATATGTTCTCCACCAGATACAAATAAAGTGGATTCAGGAATTGATACTAAACTCTGAAAAAAGAAAAAGACAATTGATTCTATAAACACTGTTTCCAATCTGATTAAAACACAGATCCTATTTCGTTTCGTTTTTTATAGTTCAAAATTTTACTTGTCTTTACTACACTAGGATCTGGAAGAGTTGTTATCATTGACGTGTTCTGAATAGTGTGAGGTATTAGCCAATGAAACGGTCTGTTACGGCGAGCTTTACGCATGTTTTGCACTGAACTGTGGGTAATCCACTAGTAACATCAATGCTGATTGGTTAATCAAATGTCTGATGTCATAGGTCAAAAGCCGCTTGCATGACCCCTGACGTGACCTATCACAACAACCAGTCAGATCTTCATGTAGTGTAGGCCATCGAAAGTATAAAAAAACAAAATATAGATCTGTATTTTAATCAGATTGCACGGTTTCTAACTGATGTTGATAATTGGTTTTATCAAAAGAGTAATAAATATTACTCAAATTATTTGTATTTAATTGGAGGAAAAATATGTATCGTTTAAAATCAAAATGAAAAGCTGGTGGAAAAAAAGGACTCCAGAGTGATCACTAATTGCAGTTCTGAGACGACTTAGTTATTTCATAGTTCCTGAGATCTAATGAAAAGAAAATTCTGCCTTATTCTTTATGATTTAAAGAAACTAAATTCCTATACCTTGACAGAACTACAATGTTCTTTAAGTATATGAAGACATTGACCATTATAAATATCCCAGACCTATAATCAAATAATAGCACCATTTACATGTATAATTTAAACAATCTCAGTTATCTATACTCAGATACAAAATCACAAATCACAAAGGAATATATTAAAGAGAGAGAGAAATGGGGTTTAGCATCCACTCCACACAAACTAGGTCATTTCAGGACAAACATATGGTTCAATTTTATTTCAACAATAAGTTTGCGCGTAGGGGTCTTTAGCAGTGAGAGGAAACCGGAGGACCCGGAGAAAACCCACAAGGTTGGACAGGTGACCCTCCTCCTTGTCATGTACAACCGGGGAAACGAAACCTTGTCATTTGACTCAATGACAGACCTTATGATACAGCGCGCACATGCTAACCATACGGCCATCCAAACCCCCACGAATATATTAAACTTTAAAACATAAATTGGCCGGTAACTGCCTGGAAGTTTTTTTAAAGGCATTTGGGATTCTTTACCAAGATGATTGGAATCCAGTATGTAACACATTAAAATAGGTATTTATTGCTCCCATATTGTAATGTTACAACCAAATATCTTACCCTTATAGTTTTATCTGAAGAAGCTGTTAATATTATTTCTCCATGTAATATCATACACGTTATAGGATGATCATGACCAGATAAAACATGTAAACTACACCCATCCTGTAATATAACATCAGATAAAACATGTAACCTACACCCATACTGTAATAAAACATGATATAAACCAAGTAAACTACACCCATCCGTCAGATAAAACTGCACCCATCATGTAATACATCATCAGATAAAACATGTAAAATACTCCCACGCTGTAATAAAACATCAGATAAAACACATAAACTACACCCATCCTGTAATAAAACATCACATAAAACATGTAAATCATATCCATCCTGTAGTAAAAGATAAAGCATGTAAACTACACCCAGCCTGTAATAAAACATTAACCACGTAAACTACACCCATCCTTCAGACAAAACTACACCCTTCCTGAAATAAAACATGTAAACTACACCCATCCTGTAATATTTTAAAACATGAACACAATTCTGGCCTTTTAAACAAAATAATAATCTGGAACCCAGATCATGGAGCAGAATTTAATGTCTCTTCAACATAACATTTTGGTCATAAAAGCCCAACCATGCTGACAAATTATTCTGGTTTACATAGACTTATTGCCACTTTAAATTTGTACTAATACCAGATGACTTACTGCCAAGAACATAATCTTATCTACTGTGTCAAATGTCTAGATGAAAATGGTTAGATTTATGAATCATTTTTTTTGATGGAATATGACAAACATTGTTACCTGTATATCCCATATAACTACTTTACTATCATCACCAGCTGTAGCACATCTATAAATAAAATATAAATATATAAATATACTCATAAAACATTAATATAAAAATATACCCTCATAAACCAGGATGTTCAAACTGTATTACTTACATATAACCTAATACAAAATGACATACAATAAACTTATCAAATGTACGTCTCGGTCGTAGAATGGAGCAGCTTTAAGATATTCTTCTGTTTGAAAAAGGCAAAAGCCATTTCAAAATGAATTCATGTAGAATCCATATAATGATGCAGGCCATAGGGCCTGGTAAGAAAAAGCATCTAGTTGTTAAAATGGGACTAAAAAAAACCCCAGGTCCTGTGTATTACACTGACAACATGTATAGGATTCTCTAATAGTTGGAAATCGAATTAAGAGTCGACCATATCAACGCTGTCTGGGAGCAATTCCCCCATAGCACACCGTATGACATATACCCCATCTTCTGCTGGTATAGAGATGTAGGATGTTATAACCCATTTCATTTCATTTTCTTTGCTTCGTAAACCAGGGTCCTTACATTACAAATGGAAATAAATGTAGGCTTACTTTATTCAACCAAGTTTGACAGGATCAGCATCAAATAAAATTAATCCTGATTCCTGAACTAAGAGTTGAGAATATAAACCTACCTGAAGTCATCTATAGGTAATATTAATCTCACTATATCTTTATGATGTTGTAATATAAGTATTTCTGTATATGGATTATATGGCTGACCATCAGCTGGATCTTCTACATCAGGTATTAACTACAAAATACAATACTAAAATACAATACTTTCTTGCTGGGCATACATAAACACAAATGGTGTATTTGGGAAGATTTGGGTGAATTTAAATAAATTGTGCTACCCACTAACTGATGCTTAGGCTACTGGTCAAAACCTATGTGCCAATGAACACCGCGAGGTAAGCACATTTTACCCCTATTTCTATTTCATTATTTACTACTAAATTCTACAGACATGGGCCTACTACAGATAGCTACGAGATCATAACTAAAAACGTTGAGATATACTGATGTGCTTGTTTTTAGCTACGATTGGGTGTCTTTAGTTTCACCTGGCAAACTTAATTTCTTTATTAATGCATACGCAGTCCAATCTACTGAAACAACAGTAATTTATCAGAAAATATTGACAATAAAGTAAATCAAGCGCTGTTTTATCAAAATTGATACAGACATTCATAATTAACGGCGTATTACCGGTACTCCTGCGCAACTCTGATCAGGTTAGTACTTTGATTGGCTATTGCACACGAGGCCCCGCCTTTATGTGTTAAAGACGTAAATTTAAAATGTCGGAGAAAGCAATCTATTATCGCTTCGATTTAAAAAGAGGCTTTTCTGCTTAATTGTAGTCGGATGTGGCAGAAATGTTATAAATAACAATAATATAATCAATCGTTGTTTTGATGAAAAATATTGTCAATTTTGCTTACTGATGCCAGATGCGATATGCGTTGGGCTTTGCTACGTGGAACTATATAGGACCATCTCTTATCTCGAAACACGGAGAGTTGAGAGATGAGGTTTGTTATCTACAGTCGTATACTATGTAAATATGTATAGACTACAACAGACAGTCACAGTACCGGTACATTTAAATATAGCCTAATACGATTTACAAATCACCTGTTTATCAGATTTCTGTTTATCTTTTGAACTTGATGTCCAGAATCTTTGTAAAACGGACATATTTTATGAAGAGTCCAATGAATAGAAAGGCTCACGGGTTTTCACATTCTTGTTTAATTCCAGATAAAAACAGAAACGACTCTCGTGTGCTATGTTTACAATCTAGGGAATTCCCTTTACCGCAAAGGAAATCCTCCTACGTCACTCGACTATATTTAGATGGGTAGTCTTCGGGCGAATTTTTTAAAGTCTGCTACAATTAAATTGGATTGGTCATATTCGGGCTCTACAGTGAAATAGTTGTCCGCGAATATTATTGATATTTACAGATTAAAATCTTACTAGTTGAATCTTATTGGTGATCATTCAAATTCATCCATAGAAGCATAAAACGGAACAAGGACCTAGATTTACTACTAGAAGACGATAAATGAGATAGTGTGTATAATCTTTAGACTACCCAAGATCACATCCTCCAAATTCCCTGCTTCTAGTTTCTACGAAGTTTACTGAACTGGCGATGTTAAAAAAAATTCATACTTTATTATTAAAAATCAACAGTTTCCATTTTTCATATAATATTCTTATCTTTATCCCAAGAAAACAAACATGAGTAAAGTGATCCCACAGCTAATTAATTCCTTTGGTGAATAGTTATTACATAGTGGCCTGTAGAAGCCATATTCCTGAAGCAATGTTCCGAGAAATCCCCCAGTCTAACCAAAAGAAACACTGCGAGGAGTATTGTAGATAGACAAACCGCAAAACTCATCTGAAGTGGGTATGGTGGGGGCTGCATTGACTGATCTTGTGCTAAGTACGCATAGATTGTACTTTATTTTTTTGTATCTATGTTCTGTTTTACAGTTTTACCGATTTTAGATTGCTACTTGTATCGGTTTAATCATCTTCTTTGGCTTTGCAGTTGGTTTCCAAGACGACAAACTTAAAATAAGAAAAACAAGTATGACGATATATCATATTTTATTCCTAAAATGACCCATCTGTCTCTTACCACTTGATAAGGTCGTCTGTCAAACAAGGTGGTTTTTGTCGGGTCCCCCGGTTTCATCTCACTGTTAATGAAATAATATTGAACTATTATGTTTGTCCCGAAATTATCTAGTTAATGTCGATTGTTTGTATTTATTTTAAAATTAATGCTTTAACAAAACAATTGCATAATGTTTATATTCATTTTTTCATGTCAACTATTAAGTTATTGCGTATTTACTTACTGCACGATGTTTTATTTTAAAATTAACGAAATTGCACATGTTTCTTTCCAGTGTGTATCATTTGCGGCCTGTTACAGCTCTGTCGGATTCTTTGATAATATAAATAAACCACAACTTGATTACCCAATCAACAATCTTAACCGCATTGATTAATTGTTAAGTCAGGTGGAATGTATATACGAGTAGAGCAATACACAATAAACATGTGCATTGTAATAAACATGTGCAATTTTGTTAATTTTAAAATAAAACATCGTCCATTAAGTATATATGCAATAACTTAATCGTTGACATGAAAAAATAAATATAAACATATGCATATGGGAGGAAACGGTTGACCGTGTCTATTCATTTAGGTGGTAATGACATCGCCGCATCGTCGTCACCTGTGGATATATACCGTAGAATACTTAGAATTTGTTCAATAGTGACGATATTCGAAGAATCGGTGAAACTTTGACAAGAGGGGTTTTTTCAAAGGCGACTGGTTTGGAACCGGAATCATTCAAAAGACAAAGAAGACGCATTTTGTCATTAAAAGACAGATATAAAGATAAATTCGTGTGCTTTCCTGACATATTATATACCCAAATGATTTTTTACAGGAACGCGTGCGCTTGTAAACAGCGTATTTTCGTACTAAAATCACCAGGATGAAGAAATAATTTTAGTATAAGACGACTTTTGAGTAGGCCACGAGACCGTTAAATGAACATTTTAAATCAACATCTAAAATATTATTTTATTTGGATGTTTGGCTTTTTATTTTATAAACTGATTTTATTTTAATGCATTTTTAAATCTTTGTTAACTTCTTTTAAAACTCTTTTTTGTCTTGAAACAAACTGCAAAGCCCAACACAATGATTAATCGGAGTAGCAATCTAAAATCTATTTGTCGATTGTAAAGGGAGATAACTGCGTAAATATTTAATTTTCTGTAAATTATCGAATATTCGTTGCAATTATTATACTGATGTGCTGCTAATTGACGATATTAGGTTTGTATTTTATAATATTGGGTAGTATTTGATAAGTATTGGGTTATTATTTGCTTGATTTGGATGATATAGGGAGGCAAATGGAACAGCCAGACATCAGTGATCACATTCGAAGTACATTTCCCACGATATATCTCACTATTTTTGAAAAAAAATCAAGTAACATGCTCATTAGACACCATTATGTTGTAGTATTGGGTAGTATGTGGTAATATTGGAGTGGTATTCGGGTGGTATTGGGTAAATCGTCCCGCCGGATGTTTTATGATATGAATGGGACAAGCGCCATGTGTCATTTAGGCAGAGTATGCGGATGTTAACCTGGTGAGCTTTTTAAAAGTTTATGTTGTGTGTTTGAGTGTTTTTTTTTTTTTTGTTTTGTTTTTTTTTGGGGGGGGGGGGTAGTATAACTGACGACTACAGACAACAAACGTGGACATTTATCGTAATATAAGTTTATCGCCAGTTTTTAATTGTTGACTAGAGAAAGATAATTATTTATCTCACAAAAAAAAATTAAAACAGCATTAAAGGGACAATAACACTCTTGCTGGCTTGACAGCTCCAGAAAATAAAAAAATAGCCTTATTCTAAGTACTAGATGTGTTAGTGTCCTACCTGTTGCGTAAATTATCCATTAAATCCTATTTTACTTGCCCAGAGGGTTCAAAAATATTTTTTAATCCAAGTCACATTTGAAAAGCTTTACGACAGGCTTTTCAAATCATTTAGTTGAATTTTTCCAATTTTTTTTTAAAATTAGGTGTGTTAAGATGAAATTTGTATCATCAATTAATTGGAATATTGTAAAATAGTACAATTTGTTGACCAGAATAAAGATTGGGACATATTATTCAGTTACAACGAGAGTGGTATTGAGTCTTTAACACAAAATTAATTTCATTGTGCACCAAACTCAAAGAGTTAGTGTTCTTTAAATACGTTTAGCTCCGTGGGTTTTTACATATATATAACTACAGCCAGGAAGGGAAGCCTATTCATATTAACCAAAGCTTTATAAATTACATATCAAAAGTTGCTCATATCAGCATAACCCCCCGAGTTCTACTAATTAACCTTAGAAAATTTGAACAAATATAGTATAGTACCAACACTAAAGACAGCTCTTACAATTTAATTAATGGATCTTTTCAGTAATTTCGGATATGGACAATCCGGTGGATATGAATAAAGCCATTGAAAGTGTTAAAAATGGCCACGGAAGCATCGGTTTCAAAGAAAGATTATGAAAGGGGCCTTTAAGCCAGCAGACACAATGGAAACATTCTTGTCAGACGAAACAAGTGATGTCTTTAATTACATGGATAAGGGTGTCACATTAACTATTGAGAATTATTAATATAATAAAACAACTAAAGTGTTCAACAATCAATTGGTACTTCAACTCTTCACATCAACCCTTTCTTCAAGTTTTAAAATAAAGTTTTGACACGCGACACATCCTATGAACGCGTGTTCAATATATGTATATATATATATATAAATGGGGCGTTGTTTCCTCTTTAAAAAAACTGACCAGTTTTGGTCTCATAGATATGTACAACTTTTGACAGTTGTCGTGGTAGAGACAGTGTATACGTTTAGCTGGAGCTCAGCTAGGATTATTTTGATGGCACCTCAAGGAGCTCTTCTGACTCCGGCAAACTTAGTGTATGTCCCCTTGAGGTGGGAGGTAGGTGTGTCAGTACCGGATTTACCATTGTGCTTAGGTGTGTTTAAGTATAGAGCCCCCATGGCCTAAGTAAGGGGTCAAAACCCAGCTTAGACAAACATGAAATGGGACCAGACACGGGGCCCGGCGGTATAGGGAACCCCGCCGCTTTTTATAGCAAAAGAAGAAAAAAAACCCTCTATTCGATCAAAGGGCGCGATTTCGATCCCAGACTTGTTCGAGACAAGAAATATGATAGCCTGCCTAATCTCGTGGAGTGCTTTTTTTTCTCGGGTCCTCCGGTTTCCTCGAACTGCTCAAGCGAATTATTGAAATAAAAATACCATTTGTTAGTCTCGAAATGTGTTGAAGGGACGTTAAACCCTATGCTATTATGTTCTTGCACAATAACCACGACCAAATTAACCACAAGTGTTATCGTTTCATCAACATATAAATTATCTTTAATCTCAGCTGGGATCTGAAGTTCTGTATTTCATGGGTGACTTGTCCTCTATCACTCCGTTCTGCATCCATTGTAACCTCTGTGTAATATAATACCATTTCAATAAGACGGTTAAAATTAGTTTTCAACATTTTAAATTATTTTCACGAATACCTACATGTAAACATGTAATCTATCCGACCAAACCAATCTAAATCCCATCATGTATTCTTTGATAAAACGTTATAACTTACAACATCGAGGTTAATAACAAACGATAAAATAGACATAACAAGACGCTTTAATGCACAGTCTACCTTACCTTATAGAGGCGAATCCGCGGGGTAGCTGATATAAAAGTATTCTTTACCAGCCAAATATTCTTAACCACCCCGAGGCAGGTTGGGAGACTAAATGATGTAACGCAAGCGTTTTGGATCATAAGGTCTGTCACTGGGCCAATTGTCGTGACAAGGAATCGGTTGCTTATCTAACCTCGTTAGTTTAGATGGGTGTTTCAGTTTCCTACCACTGCAAAGGAAACCTTTGGCCATGCACGGAAATGTGGGTAAACCACTAGAACCGTCAACGCTGATTGATTAATAAATGTCTGACGCCATAGGGTCACAAGCCGCTCGTACGACCCCTGACATGACCTTCCAGTACAATCGGCCAGATCTCCATGTAGTGTAGGCCATTGAAAGTATAAAAAAAAAAACGAAACGAAATATAGATGTGTGCTTTAATCCGATTGGCGTACAAGCGAATTGTTAAAAAAAGATGTTGTTGGTCCCGAAATATGGGAAAGGGGGTCTAATGCGCACGCTTTAG